TATTACTCCCACATATCAAATTCTCAAAAGTGAAACCAGACCATGCTTCCATCCCCTTTTATCTAGTGTTTAGTCTGTTGGGCTTTTGAAAGCATTGATCACTGTTAGACATAAAGACTGCTGAGGACCTCGTCAGACAGCATGGTTCAGATGTGTACAGGATCAGACGTGCCATGGTGGTGGAACAGCTGTTTCAGAAGTAAAAGTGAGAAAAATAGCTGGCACTGCATGATCCAGGTCATGCAAGGTTACTTGTATGATACCAGTCAACTTTTGCATACTTATCTGCTTTCCAAAATTGCATGTAGTAGGAATAGAACATAAGAGATTGCTGCTTCTGCTGGTTGGACTGAAACCAGTGTTTACAAAGCTGTTGTCAGTGGAGAGACATCAAAACCTTGCCTTGGGTGATACACCACAATTCCCAGTCCCCTGTTGTTCCCAGGAACAGCAGCAAAATGTGGCTGTGGCCTTCCCTCTTATTCCTAGCCACAAGCTCCATCAATCTGATGTCACGGATGGTATTGGAGCTTGGAGAGTTCTCTGAAACTTCATCCCTTCCTGAGCTTTCTTCATGAACATCAACTGGAGAAGAGTGAAGCATTGCCTGTGAGTGTTTCATCATTTGAAAGGCTGAACAACTGTTTCCAATTCCTTGCTATACCAGTGTCTTCTCAGTGAAGACTTTATTCCCTCTCCTTTTGAACAAAGCTGAGTGGACCCTCTGAATCTAATTTTATTTAAATTTGAGTGGAAGCCAGGTTGTCTTAACTGCTTTTCCCTGTCTTTCTGCTCATTCTTCCTACTTGAAGGCACGTCTGTCTTGGATGTGGATATAAAGAGTAAGGGCAGACTTGTTAGGTTGCTGTCATTGAGATTCTCCTTTGGCTTCTAGTATTTGTGGCTAATACTTAGAAATTAGTCAAGTTGGATTTTTTCACTTCATGTACGATTATGGTAGGCATAATTCTGCTGTCACTCATGCAAGAATAAATGCTGAAACTAATGGAGATACATGAAAGTAAAACTGATCTAAATGAGAAGAGAATCAGGCCCCCTACGGATATGAGATCAAATTACTACCACACTTTATTTACACTGAAACTCCTTCATACCACTCAATCACACACAAAATGATTTGAAATTGGTGGAACAGTGATATCTACTCACTTTAAGACGCTGTTGTTCTCGCAGAGCAGTGGTAAAGTCTCTAATGTATGTGTGAATAAAATTCCCTCTAAAGAAAGGAGAGAAAGGCAGCAAGTCCTGGCACCAGCACAGCCCTCCTTGCCATTGGGTACATGGCTTTGGACCCCACTGCTCCTTTCTGCATCAGAGAGGGCACCAGTACTCTGAAGGCTGGGTACTGCTCAACACATGGGGAAGCAACAGTAATTTTGCTTCTTTGCTTCTTGGCCCCTTGGGAACTTCTGCTCAGAAGACTTTTATTTTGGTCATATTATCAGTCTTGCCGCAGCACAGATGTGCGCAGTTGTCTCTGGGAAGGCTTACTCAGGGAGATCGCATTTCTAATCTGTTTGCTAATAAGTGCGTAATGGGAGGCAGAATATTTCTTTCTCGTGTTGAAGAGTCTCCAGTTAAATAATTAATTGATATTGAAGTGGGTCCAATTTATACTGGATTAAGCAATAGTGAAATGTCTTCCCTCGAGTGGAGAGCAGCACATTGTGCGCATCTATAACCATCTTGTAGCATTCACTGAAGGCAGGAGGAATACTGCATGATTAGAGTGCATCTAAAATACAGAATAAAGGCACCAGAATCGATCTGCCACCTTCATCACAGGATCAGTTGTTGCCAAATAGGATTTGCTGGGTCTGCTCAGAGCTAGCACAATTGGATGGGGCAGGGAGGAAGCTCTTAGCAGAGCACTGGGAGTCTCAGCCGGAATGAGCATCTGCTCCCCGGTTGCTCTTGTGATTCTTCTTGGCAAGGAACTACATAATCAGCTTTCTGGTAAATTCTTCCAAATCCTTCTTTGCTTTGATTCTGTGTAGAAAACTACATAACTCTCAGATAACATGTATTGCTATGATGAGTCCTGAAATTTGATGTTAAATGAAATGTCAGATAATGAAACTGTAAATCCTGTCTTCTTAAAAGTGACTGAATGAACTGCTGAAAATAACCCATCATCTTCTTGAGGAGCAGCCAGGTTAGATGATGATAATGGTATTTCCCAAACGGACAGTGACATTGATGTTTTATATGTGATATACTGAGACCCCATCTCTGACCTGTATGCAAGATGAGGAATGAAATGGTTTTCAGTAATAACAGGAAATCTGATGATATATTTAAGATGCTTATTGTTGGCCTATCACCTTATGGAGCCTTTCTAACCCCAGGGGATCACCAGATAGATGTCTACGATGCACATACATCATTGGCTGGGAAATATGATGCAGCTCCCTATCACTTATTTACTGAGAGAGCAACTTTTTCTGTACTTCTTCAATAACGTGTCTGAAAATGCTGTCGTTTTTAACACTGCAAATCAATGTTGCTTAAGTATGAGAGGGACACTGAAAAAATTTAAATTGGTTAACAGCATGAAAATCTGAACATTTAAAGCATAATTAGCTGGTAGTATTTTAACAAACTCTCTAAAGAATATGTAGAAAAAACAGCTTGTTTACTGAGCTCAGCATTAAAAGCTATGCTGTAATTTATTATCTGAAAATGTGGTACTGCATACCCCTAATTTTATAATCTGTTGACTCAAACCACAGACTGTCAAACACATTTCAAGATTATCCATGTTTGCATGTCATATTATATTTTTTGGGGAACGCAGCTTCTATTTATTCTTAACTCTGCTGATGATTTTCTCAGATTTCTGCCATATGCTGCACGTCACAGGTGAGTATTTTACTGTCTTAAAATTTGACAGCTGTATCCAGTTTAATAGTTCTGTCATCTCAGCATTGCCATTAGCACTGAATTACAACAGAGGATATTTAAACGTTGGATTAGAGTGTCACATATTTGTCAAATAACAAACAACAAGGGTAGACATTGTGAAAGGAGTCAATGAAACTGTAAAAACATCAGTCACTCAACAAAGGTATAAAAACTGAGTCAAGAGACTATCTAAACAAAGTTTGCTCAATGTTTATTTGTTACACTGCAGTTTTATGCATCTATCTTGCTATGGACTTTATGCATAATAAACACACACTGGCCAAATTCCTGTCAGTTGAAAAAGGCACATAGACAATATATTTAATGAACAGTTTGAAGTTTACAGAAAGAGGAGGATTTATAGGCCTGAATTCAGAAAGGATGGGGATACGGTCTTGGGCATAAGTGCATATTATCTTGCTTTCCAGGGTGGTTTATGCAGAATAGAGGCAAGATGCAGTACTGTAAAATGTTAATAATGTTCAGCTCTTTTGAAACCTCATTCTGGTCCTGCTGAAAGTAAGCACTCACCCTCGATCAGCAGAAAAAATAAGAGGTTAGCTAGATAAATACAATGAAAAACACAGCCTGTTAAGCATCAAAGTCAAATAAATAGTGAAATGATAGCAGTCATTCAATTTCATCTGCTTCCTGCTATAATATCATCAGCCCAACAAAGCACTGAAACACAGGTGCAATGTAAATGCTCTTAAAAAAGGGATTATTCACGTGCTTGAAATTATATACTTTATTACATCTGAACCACAGCTCTAATGTCCATCAGGCATTAGGAGGCAGTGCTTATCCTGTTTATTTTCACACTATGATTTTTAACTGACCCTGAAAGTTTAACTCCTGCATTTTTTCTCATGGAAGCAGTTCCTCTGACACGTTCCAGTTACTCAGTTGGACTCGATGATCCCTGTGGGTCCTTTCCAGCTTGGGATATTCTATGATTCTATTATTTGCTCTGCCTTTACTAGAAACAGTTTTTTTGCTATTGCTCCCAAACCTGCTATGCAAGGATTGGCCTCTTCATTCTTGGCACTGCTGTGCTGATTGGAAAACTTACAGCAAATGGCAAAATCTTGCACATGGTATTTATCTAATCAGCTTCAAGGAGACTCTTCGCTAACTTTGCCGATGAAAACCAGATACTAGCTTAGTCTTCAGGTTCTGTAGTAATAATATATAGTATTTACAAATCAAGTGATGCATAAAGCAATTCTTCACCACCTGCCAACCGATGCCCAGACAGACCCTGCGTAGTGATTGATTTCTCCAACCAATCCCCCTATCTTTTTTTTATGATGTCATATCATAGGGAATATCCCTTTGGCCAGACTGGGGCAGCTGTCCTGGTTCTGTCCCCTCCCAGCTCCTAATGCCCAGCACCCCTCACTGGCAGGATGAGAAACTGAAATGTTTTTGGCTTTGTGCTCAGCAGCAACTAAAGCATCCGTGCGTTATCAACACTATTCTTCTCCTGAAGCCAAAACTCCAAAACACAGCATCATACCAAACACTATGAAGATGATCAACTCTGTCCCCGATGAAAGGAGGACAGAAACAGAAAGCACAAATCAGTGCTCTGTGTCACTCCAGGCCTCCTATCTTCTGGGCACTTTTGGTACATATGCGATGAGGTTATCAACCTCAAAATTCAATCTGAAGCCAGTTGATGTTTTATGAGTCAGAGCTGGAGCTGGCAGCACGGTGGGACAATATATTTCCAATTAGCAAATATTTTAGTGTGTGCTGGCATATCCTTCAGTCAGTAGCTCTCCCAGCCCTTCTTGTTTACTTTGTTGAGGATTGTTCTTGTGAGGTTTCTCTGAACAGATTTCACTGCTGGCAGGCAGGTGATGGAAAAGCAGCTTCTGTCCATTTTTAAGCCTCAATGACATAGGTACTCACCAACATTGCAGCTCCCAGGCAATGGGCTCTCCTCTCCTCTCCAAGTCTCCAGTATCCAGGCTAACACAGGGAAAAATTCTGAGCAAGTGGGATGGCCAAGTCTTCACAGATAAGGAATTGTGTGGGAGCAATAAGGAATTGTCTGAGCAAGTGGGATATGTGTGTGAATCTCCTGAAAAAATTTTGTATTTGCTCATCATTTTTTGAAGCATTCAGTAAAGTGAAAATTTTTTGTGAAGCAAATCCAATTCCGAATAGTTCACAGAGAATAATAAATCTGTGAACTCCAACAAACCAATCCATATTTAGGAGGAAATAACCAACTTGCAATCTTGAGTTATATGATATGCCACTTCCTATAAGCTCTGTGATAAAATGAAAAGAAAAATGCTTTTGTTTTCTGAGCTCCTCTATTTACAAAGTGCAACTGTTAATCAACTATTAATCAAAAGATGGATGGGACAGAGGCCTTCATCCCTGAGTTACATTTCCTGGATGTGGCTCCAATGGGAGCTCCAAAATCACAGCAGAAGCACTGGGACTTTTCCTTGTGGAGAAAAAAAAAAGCTTTGGCTTTGTTAATATGAGAAAATTTTTCTTTGGCCACTTTTGCATTTGAGCATCTCTGGCATAATAGGAGACACTGTTCGGTCTTGCATTTTTATTTCATGTTTTTCCTCATATGACACTCTTTCCAGCTCATTTTTCTGTTTAATTTTTAAGCTGCTGCTTTTGCTTTAGCAGGAGAATCTGAACACTTTATTGATTAAGCTGCCTGTTTTTCAGTTTCATCATATCCTTCATTTGAATGTGTATCTGTTTTGCTGAATCAGCTGTGTATTGAAATGCTTGAGGATTCAACTACTGTTTGAGCTGCATCTTTGGTTTAATCCTCTTGTGCTTTTTTGCTTACTCAGCTGGCTACTAAACCAAGTAATTTTGGGGGTGGAGGGATTGCACTGCCAATTTCATTTCTGATTGGGAAAAATATACTATAAAATGAGTTCCAGTCATTCATGACTGCAACTATATATTGTCTAAATGAACTGCCTTTTAAACACTGAAAAAAAGAACCCTTTTATTATTATTTATCTTTTTATTATTACTTATTGTTTGCTCTTTTACTCTTTCCTTTATTTGCAGTGTTGAATGTAAGAAACACTTGGAGAGTTCCCAACCTGGAAGACAAACATAAATGATTGGGAGCACAATCTGAAGCCAAGTGTGTGAGGTGATTCAGTTTAAAATTTAAGATCTGTTCATTTGCTCTTTAGCATCTGTGAAGCCTGGAAAGCGAAGTACACAGCCTAGCAAATGGAGCACAGGTTGAGATTCAGCTGCATCTCAAGCAGGCACTAGATTGCTATGACAGCAGCTCCTCTCAGAAGTGAGACTCGGATCACAGATAACTATTTTCACATTATGGATATCCCAAGCTCTAAGGGGTGCTGCGTTGTGCAGTCCCAGTCCTAACACTGACTATAGAAACCATGGCTCTCTCTATCCAATTCCTGCTTTTGGTATTGAGCTCCTGATCAAGACCATAGAAATGCTGCAGAAGTTGTATCTGGCCCAAGACTAATTAGTTTACCTCTTGGAACAGACTGCACATTGTAGCACACAAACAGGCAACTGATACCACTGACCTTGGTGAGGAGAGTGAGGTCCATTGCCAGCAAAGATATGATTCTGCAGCTCAAACATCTGCCTTAGAATCCTTCCTTCTTCCTCATCCTCTTTCATCATCAAGCAAAACCTGGAAGCACCTGAAATCAGCACTGGCTTCTGCAAGTCTTTGATGTAGATGCCAATCTGTGTACCCTCTGGGATTTCTATATGGAACATACTGATTCACAACTGTTCACCTTGAACTGGATGCAAGGCGCCATCAGAACAGAATTGGAAGCTTCACTCCTAAAGCTGCTTTGATGTTTAACTGTGTTCAGTTCACCTAGAAAGCACACTGAAGAGCTGCCAAAAGCAGACCAACTGCCAGCCAGACTGCCTGGCTGGCAAAGCCTCTCCTCCTTCTCTGCCTTTCCTGCTGCCTGCAGCCCAGGAGTGACCTGATGTGTCTTGGCCATGCAGCACACAAAACAGAGGCAGAAAATCCAGCATCCAAATAGGGATTCCAGTAACTGGCTAAATCTGCTTGGTGAGCTGGCTGCCAGCCAACACACTCATGGCTATCTGTATCTGGATTGTCCTGACAGTGCTCCTTCACAGCAGGACCAGAGACTTGCAAGAGTATTTTTAACTTACTTTGCTGCCCCTTTCTCCTCTATGGAGAGGGAAGACCCTAAAAACTTGCAGGGGCTTTCTCACTGACATTAAAATAGCCCCCAACATATCTACTCCCTGTGGAGTCAGAAGAGGTTTGTGCAACTTGGTTGCTTTAGTTGTCATGCATTGTGGCTAGCAGAAATTCATGTCACTCCATTCTCTTTTTCTCACTTACGCCTCTTTCTCCTTTCCCTTTCCCCTTTCTCTTACGCCACCCCCCCCCCTCCCCCCTTTTTTTTTCCCCCTAAGCCAGTATCATAGTTCAGGTCTCTGAGAAGCTCTGTAAGACCTTCCTTGTCCTCACGAGATTTCTGATTATCACCTTTCATTACAGGATTTTTTTGCTGCTGAGTAATTTACTCGTGATATTTGGAAAATGGACGCAATAAGGAAGTTAGTGATAAATCTCCTGTTTTCTCTGTAGCAATTAGCAATACTGTTAGTAGTTAAAAAAAAAAAAAAAAAGATACCTGAGGGGTTCCCATACAAAGCTTTTCACAAACTCCATATACAGTGCTAAATAGGCTCCTGTGCAGGCAGAGGACTGCAGTGGCATTTCAGTGAGATTTATCTCAGTGGCTACATCTGCCTCTTCTGTTCAAGTGGTTGCAAATCTGTGAAGCAATTACGTGAAATGCTGTGACCCTCTTCATCTGGGACCTGCAAAAGGCTGTCGTTTAACAGGGAAATTAAACTCAAAACAATGCAAAAAATAAAAAAAAAAAAAATAAATAAAAATCAGCCTTTGGAGAACGAGGCAAAATTGCAGTGAGATTTAACTAAAAGGAAATCTAGTGAGCCAGTAAGCAGAATGTCCATAACTGACTGCTGCTTATTGTGCCCCTGCTTTAGAACCCAGCTCTTCACACCCTTAATGTCAGCAGGAAGATCCCCAGCAGTTCTTTACCTTCATACTCCTTTTAAAAAATATGGTATCATCTTTTTGTACCAACATTTCTATTCAATAGATAGATTTATGTTACCTCAATCCTTTCACTGAAAAAACAAAAATCCCACAAACTTGGGAGAGGCATGGGACAGGAGAAAGTTCTCTGCACTAAGAATGCAAAGACTATGGAAGAAAAAACACTGTTTTTCTGTCCCTGCACTGGAAGTGTCCCCAGAAGTGGTTTTGCCTTTTATTAGCAGCCCACAGAGATTAGAGCAGCCAGAGCTGTTTGCAGTCAGCCCTCTGAGACCTTTACTCCCTTGAGCTGAGCTGCAACCAGCATCTAGCTCTGATGTATCCTTGGTTGACTGAAATGACATTGAAGTGAAGGACTTTTTAATTTTCTCTCACCTTTTTTTTTTTTTCCTCCCTCTCTTTTTCAGTCTATTTAATAGTGATGTGCATTAGAAAGCCTCTGATGTAAAGGAGAGGGGGGCTCAAATGGTATCAGTGCTATCAATTTGTCTGTAACCAGTTCTTAAAGTGGGGCTTTACAGTAAGCCAGCCTGGAGCTAAGCGACTGCCATCATCAGGCTCAATTCTGCAACACAAAATATGGGAGGGATGATTGCAGCTGCTCTGTGAGCCCTGGAAATGCTGCTGAGAGCTGCAGCGGTTCCCTGCTGCAGGCACTGTGCCAGAGAGGCATCCCAAGTGTTTGTAGCTTTCACAGAAGGCTTTTTTGTGAGAAATTTCCTATGGAGTACTGGAATTTTCTAGATCAAAACTTTTTTGGGGGAATGAAATCTGTAGGGAAAGGCTATAATTGTAGCTCATGAGCTGGCACTTCATTCAAAGCCAAGAGAGATAAGAAAAACATCAATGCAAAAGCACCTGAGTAAGTTTGGAATGGCCTTGGCAAATTAAAACTATTAAGTATTTCCAGGAGACTTCTGCAGATCTCCTTCCAGCTGTATCCACAGTCCCATTGGAGGAGCAATTAAAACTCAGGTGGGTTATTGTTCAGGGTCTCTGAAAATGTTTTTTTATTCCTAGGGCTAAACGAGATAGCTAAGAAAAAAGGAAAACCTGAATGAAAACAGTACTTAAAATTTGAGCCGAACCCAACGCAATCTGTGAGATAATAGATAGGAGCACAGTATTGAATCAAATTAACTCTCAGTAGCCAGCAGTCTTTGCCATGTGGATAAGTATTTAAAATCTGAGTAGCAAATGGTGTTCTGCCTGCTTCACTATTTTTTACACCTGATAGCTGTACAGCACATTCTCTTTTCTCACCAGGAAGGAAAATACTGATATACCAGGTAGGGGATGCTGTCTTTATCTGAACCACTCAGATACAGGAGAATTTCATTCATTTTTGATGAAAGCATTCTTCCTGTGCTTCATCTTTGTAAACAATTGTTCACAAACGTGCATGCTGCCAAAAAGCAAGGACATTAATAAGGTGTGCTTGTGAAGTGAAGGCTGTTTCTCTCTGGTAGGAGATGGCCTATGAATTCCTGGTAGAGAAGTGTGACTGTGCCCTGGAGAGGGGTACGCTCCCATCTGCAGCCTACAGACTGTTGAGTGGGCATGACTGGTCCAACTATTTATGTAAAGAGAAATAAACATTGGCTAACTAATGGTAGAATTCATGGTTTTCATATGTTGAACAGAACCCTTCAGTTTAACGGACAGGTTCTGTTATAGCTTGCGTTGTGGGGGAGAAACCAATGCTCCAGTGAGCTGCATGTTATGGAGCTCTAAAACCTCACTGTCTTCACAGGTCCCAGTGCTATCTGAGCATGCTGCAGTCCATAGGAGCTGGAACCTTTGATGTCTGGAGGCCCACAGGGCAGCAGACCAGTACCTAGTTTTGCTTGTGCTGCTGCATGCCATTGTTATTCCTTCAGCCAGTATTGGCTCACACAGCGCAGTGTTTTAGTCCTGCTATTAAATAGAGTCCAAATGCCTGAACAGGAGAGGGAGGCAGGGGACAAACAGCACTGCACAGAAGCAGGCAAATCATTCAGCCTACATGCTGCCCACGCACACTGCTGCTGGGGATTTACCATTTGAATGAGTTCCTGGGCACGACTGAGATCTGATTTCCATTCAGCACAGTGGGAAAGCACAAGAATAAAAACATGCAAGGAGAAGAAAGAGAGAAGAAATGTCTCCCACAGCCACACATCCCTGCCTCTCCACCTGCAGCTGTTAGAGGCAGAGCTCTCTATGAGAGGTGGGCTTTGGGGTGACCTTCTTTTGCTGCTCAGCTTGAGCCTTAACAGCAGCACCAGAAGCCACCACTTGTCATGGTGAAGAGCTCACCTCTGCAGCAGGTGAGGCTTAAGCTCCTGAGTTTCACTGTGCATTCCCTTCTCTTCTCCCTCCCATTGCATATGTCCCCCCTTCCTAGAAATGCCTCACTTGAGGTGTGAGTCTTTAATAATGATAGAATAAATAAGAATAAAGCTCCCTACCAACCATCAGTTGTCTCCTTCCACGACCAGGATGGATGTAGGCTAGACTTTTTGCAGCCCTTTGGGATCAAAGAGAAAGATTTATGATTAGTCTTACTACAATAAATTCAAAGACAAGAATATGGGCAAAAAAAAATTATCCATCAACAGCCCCCTTTTTTGAGGTCTATCTGCTTAATGGCTGAGATGAGTGAGCTGGATCCTCCCTCTTCCATACAAGCAGCCTACAGCTACTGCTGAGGGTGTTGCTGATGCCTCATGGTGCTTCTATGCACAGTATTTTGCACATAGATGGTGGCAATGTTACGCTTACACACAAGGGAGAGTGCAAGGCATGTGTACGTAATTCAGGGTCAGGATTGTTATTCCTAGCTGGGTATTTTTCTGCAGACACTTCACTCTTATAGAGGAATAAATGTCACAGCATCATTACAGTTTTGCATCCTTGTTTTTCCTGTGGAACTGTTAGATTTGCCAAGTATGCAAAAAAAAAAATCCAATCCTCCCTTCTCTTTAGCGTATATCTGACATGAAATGACTCCCACATCTATGTATTTCACTAATGGTCTCATAGTTATAATTAGCCAATATTTTTGTGTCCAAAACCTGGAAACCTTAATCAGCTCACACACTGCTTTTCATCCCTAAGGTCTGTATGGACTTCCAAGGTATATGACAGGTAATGAAGTGAAGGAAGCCTATTTTCAGAGTATCAAAACTGTTAAATAGAGGTTAACACCTGCACTTGAGGATTTTCTATCAGAAAAGGGTGGAATTGCTGTCTTTTAGAAAAATAATTCCTTACTGAGTCAGAGAGAAACGGTAAGTTCAGCTAACAAAATGAAATGGACCAAGTCTGCAACCTGACTGGTGTGCCAACTTCTTTACCAGAGAAAACGCACAAAACGTATAAAAGCTGGAATCAAGTTCCTACCTAACCTCTAAACCTGCCCTTCAGGTGCCGCCAGCTCAAAAAAGCCTGCTTGTGAACCCAAAGGAGACCCTTGCTACAACTGCCTATAAAAGGAGAACGTGGTGAGTTTCTGAGCAGACAACTCAGAGACACGCAACTGGGAGACTGACAGACCTGAGGGTTACGCTGCCATCCAAAGGATGCTGTCAGGGTGGAGAAATGGGCTTTGAAAAGAACCTCCTGAAGTACAGCAAAGAGAGTTGCAAAGTCCTGTACCCAGGAAGGAACTACCCAAAGCATCAGCACAAGCTGGGAGGGGCACTTGAATGGAAAGTACTTCAGAGCCCTGATGGCCACCACGTTGCTCCAAAGAAGCCTAACAGTATTCTGGGCTGCAATAGGCAAAGTATAGCCAGCAGATAGAGAGAGGTGGTACTTCCCCTCTGCTCAGCACTGGTGGGGAGACACCATGTGTCCACTGGTGGGTCCTCCTGTACAGGAGTCCTTGACACACTCAAGAGAGTCCAAATGGAGGGCTATTAAAGCAATGAAGGGATTGGAGCACCTCTGCCTTATGGAGAGGCTGAGAGAAGCAGAGCATCTCTCAGAGATCCCCTGAGCCTGGAGAAGGCTCAGAGGGATCTCTTCCATGTCCATAAATATCCAAAGGGAGGTGCAGAGAGGACACAGCCAGGCTCCTTGCAGCTCTGCCCAGTGCCAGGAGCAGAGGCACTGGGCACAACCCGGAGCACAGCAGCTCCCTCTGCCCATCAGGCAGCACTGCTGTGCTGTGCGGTGCTGGAGCCCTGGCACAGGCTGCCCAGAGGCTGTGGGGTCTCCTCCTTGGAGCTCTCCCAAAGCCGCCTGCCTGTGGGGCTGGGCCTTGCTCTTCTGGGGCAGTTCTGGGGCAGTGGGATCCTGTGGTGCCTCCAACCTCAGCCATGCTATGATCCTGTTTTATGTAATAAAACACATCATCACAGAGATGGCGAGAATAAACTGGAAGGTGTCCTGAATGGAGATAAGCTTATTTTGTACCGACATTAATTCTTTGTGAAGTGTGCATGATAATTAATGTTAATCCACAAATAAATTCTTAGAAAATTATCTGTTACATCTGCAGGGTAAAAAGGTCTGAGTTGTAGCACTGACTACTAACAGCATTATGTATGATTTACCAGCAATTGTCAAGTTTCATACCAAAGGTCAGGAATAAATCCTGAGTTTGTAAGCTGCAAGAAAGAAATGTATGAACACTTTAATTTATTGCTCTGTCACTGTTAATTCCATCTGGTATTCACTGTGATAGCATTGCTGCTAATGAATGTATTTGGTAATAATGTGGATGTCATATATATTTATGCTCTAATCTCTTTCAATGGTTCAGCAGACAAAACAAGTTAGGAACTTAGCCATGTTAAATTTTTATAAATTAAGAGGGAAAAGAAATCATATTTTATTTCAAGGAAATACTTAACAAATATGTATCATATTTAACTTCTCTCACTAGGAGCCTGTCCTATCACTGCAGAATTCCTTGTATTTCTAAGGAATAAATGAGGATCAAACCATTCTATTGATATGACTTTTCCTGTTGTTTGATGATAAAAATCATGATCTTAACGCTTTGAGTCCGGCTCAACAGATCTGAGCAGCAGGAGGAAAATAAATGACTACAAGTACACTTCAGAAATCTTAATTATGACCTAAACAACCTTGCATATAAATCACAATGCTGCAATTTCAAAACCTGACAGAATATAATATACACACGCTAATGTAAGCTTGTGTCTCCATCACTTCCCAGAATGGTTCTTGAATCCCCATGAGCTCAGGCAGAGCAGAGGCTGAGTTTCTCTGTGGTGAGGAGGACAGACAGTCATTCTCTCCATGGCTCTCACAGGCCTCTTTTCCACTACTGTCTATTATTTCTGTAATCACTTCATTACAGGCTTTGTGAATTGATTAGGCTTGGAAAGCGCTGCAATGAATAAAAGGAGAGCCTGGCAGCATTTGTATAAATCTGACGGCTATTTCTGAGAGATGTGCTGCCCTCCTCTGCCTTTAGAAGTGGGACTGACTTTAAAAAAAAACAAAAAAAACAAAACAAACATTTGAGGGAGGAAGAGAACTGCTAAACTGTTGTTTTTCAGACTCTTTCTGTGTTTTCTTCTGAAAAGATTACCAGTTTACCACATAGTAGTGTGACACATAGATTAACTTTATGCTTTGATTAGGAAAAAGATTTCCTTTAGGCTTCTCACAATGTATTGACTATTAATTAAGATGGAAAAGTATCTCACTGGCTGAGCAGTGGATGGATTTTGAAATAATTTACAGGTAGATGCTTTCTCCATTTCTATTTGCAACTTTGTGTCACACCAAATTTAATGGATTCATTTAGTGATGATGAAAGGCTTTGGAGCCTTTACAACTGTTAGAATCTGTAATACTTACAGCATACCTACCTAAAAGCTTATGAAATGTCACACTCATCTTTATTGCAGACTGACTCATTGTAAGGGGGTCTTCTGGCTTCCTTTGTTAATACACAAAGAATTCATTTTGGCATCTTCCCTTAGGGATGGTTTCTTTTAAGCTGTGACTGCATTAATAATATCTTACACAGTAACTCTTTCCATCAGGCAGTTGGACTTGATGATCTCCAAAGGACCCTTCCAACTGAACCAATCTAATTCTAATCTGCTACCAACCCATAATCAGTAAAACCATGGAGTAAAGGACAAATTTTCTGTCAACTTTTATGTATGGGATATATTAATTTTTATGGTTTTTACTCCTGAGTTAATTAAATGCCCCTAAATGTGGAAACTTTTTATGGAAATGCCTTTTTAATAACAAAGACCATTCCTGCTGCTCCCAGGGAACTGTGTTACTTCAATAATCTGGTTTCTTTTCTTTTTTTTTTTTTAAAGTGATATATCTTGAGGCTAAAACTGTTGATTTATTAGTAGTACTTCCCTCAGACACAAAAATTCTTTTTCAAGCTGAAGAACAAAAGGTCATCTTGCTTTTTGCAAGTGTACACACTGTATTTTTTGCATGGTTCAGTTTGCTGGTTCTTTAGATCTATCTGCTTTAGGATTAGCGAGTTTACAAACATATCCGGGTTCTGAAAGGTTTTTGTTGGTGGCACTGTTTGAAGTGCTGGAAAAAAAGCTTAGCTGTAGCTTTATAAACAAGGTGTGCTTACATCTGCTAAGAAAAGCACAGACAAACTTGGGATGGAATCACCTACATAATAGTTAAAGCAGGATCATTTCTACAGAGTGAGCTTCTCAAAGAAACCTACTGCCACTTACAATCATCACGCAGTGCTGATGGATGGCTGTGGTTCTGCATGAGCGTTTGATTTACATCAATGCCTGGTTGATGATCTTTCTGAAGTTACCAGAGCAGGCACATTTCCTGTTTGCCTCCTCCACAGCTAACCTCTTCCTAGGCTTTATTTCTTAAATGCTTCTCTAAATCCAAAACATAAAAAGATTTCTGCATTTTTTCCAATGGGAGCACTTCATTTTTTCCTTTCTAGAGACACAAATGCCCAACTCTTTCTGAAGATTGTTAAATATCTGGACCTAGTAGCTCCTTGTGATAATGAGTCCTACAGCTTAATTGGGTTACAAGAAAAATATTGTTCTGTTCAATTGGGGGTTTTTTTGTTTGTTTTTTGTTTTGTTTTGTTTTTCCATTTCAATGATATTTTGTTGTGCAGTAAGTCACCTAAAACACAGCTGTGTTGTGTCACCTAAAACACAATGTAGTGATATCCAGCCTAGGCAGAAGCTACCCCTATGTAGCTAGGAAGTACAGCATGTGCCTAACTTGCTGACTTTGAAGAATGCCTGGAGCTTCTGAGCACTGAGAAGGTAAAGGAAGAAGGAAGAAAAAGGGCTGTACCACTTAAGCTGCACAGAGACATTCCTCCAGGGAGGTTCCGGAGCAGGACAGAAACTCAGAGAGGACAACTTTGCCCTGCTTGCTGAGGAACAAACTTGTCTCCCAAGTTGATAGTCACCCACAGCCGAACCCATGTGGATTCTCACAAGAGGTTCAGAGACAAGATCACCTAAGAAAGTTAAGCTTAAAAACCAGAAGCACTGATGAGTATTTTTGGCATGAACTGAAGAATCCTTTCATTCCAGCTACAACCTATGCCCTGATTCAGCTAAGCAGCTCTCCAGTTTGTTTTTGTTGTTTTTCCCCCTTTCCCACAGCTTTCTTGAACACCACTTCTAGGTGGCTGTTTTCTCCCAGCCTGCTTAAGTTATATTTTGTAATGATAGTTCATAAAAAATTATGGCACGTACTCTTAACTGACGGCAATAGTCTGGGAGCATGCTATCAGTCAGGATACGACTGTACTCTTTTTCATGCTTTTACAATCATGTTTTGGTGTTGGGTTATCGTTTTTCTTATTTTTAGTCTCATTTACAACAAAGTCTTTTGATACTGCTCCAGCAATAGAAAGGAATCATGATAATCAGGTTTTTCAAAATGAAATGGTTTGACTATAGTTTATGATATTCACTGCCCAAGTTGGCTAACATTGGCAGGCAGAGTTTTTTTGGGATGGAGAGAATACTGTGACCCTTACACACTAGTGTGTGACCTGCTAACCTGAGCTCCAGAGAAAAGGTGCTTTTAAGCTGAAGTTGATCCTGTCTGAGCTCTGTTTTTTTTCCACTTGTAACAGTCAGAAAAAACAACACGATAGAATAGCAATACAGGAGGTGTAATGAGAAAGGAACTAGCTCTACAGAAAGGTACTACAAAGGAAAAGTGCTCACCTGCCTCTGAAGATGTAGGTTCACAAAGGAAACTCCACAAGACAGAGACCACCAACATGAGTTCATTCCTAGTAGCACTCAGCCCTTAAATGAGGTCTAAGAGAGGTGCAGCCAGGCTCCACCCCTTCTGGTCACACAGCAGAATTGCCTTCACCTGTGCTCCCAGGGCTGCCTGGGTCCTTTCCCCAGGTGCTCAATCAGTGGTTCAGGCCAGGACTCAACAGTTACCATACTGGTGTTTAGCACTATTAGCTAAATTGTATTTCAAATAAAGCAAGAATCATATCTTAATATATGCTAAAATATCTATTATGTTGAGAAGCTGCTTATTTAGATCTAAAAAATTAATAAAAAAAAAATTAAAAAGGGTTTGAGAAATGTAAGGAAAAGGATGAACGTGATGGTTGGAATATGTTGTAGAAAAAAGAGAGGGGAAATACTTAAGAAAAGCTAGATTTTAACCAGAGCTTAAGTGTTCTCCAAATGCACAGAATTTCCCTGCAACAATCCCTTTTCATCCTCAGGAGAAATGTTGTTCAACAGTGCTCATGAGGAACTTGCACCTGCACTAGCTGAGCTCTGTTTAAGAACTGAAGAGGGGAAAGCGTCTAATTAACAAGTGATGAAACGCTGAGGTGATGAGGAAAGCTATTCTCCCAATGGAGGTTGTTCACTGTCCTGCACATTTGATTTTTCCCCATAGAGATGTCCTCAGCTGCTGTATTAAATTCAAAGACAAAATAAGGTTTCTTCATAAGATTTATCCAGGCTGTATTTTCAAGCATCATACAGCTTGCCAGAATGAATTGTTTTGATGCTGACTTACCTCACCTAGGTTAAAGATATAACAGAGATGTTTCCTTCCCAGCAGTTGGCATCAAAGGGGTTCTAAGGACATTCACTGTGTTTCAAGACCCAAGCAAGTAATAACAACATAATGTGTATATTTTCATACCTCAGAAAGATAATCAGCTTGTATATATCTTCAGGCCAATCATTTTGTACCTTTTATTTTCCTACTTTTTTGAGCCTAAGACTGGCATATGATTTATAAGTTACTCAAAATGAAATTTTTCATCCTCTGTCTTCAGGTTTATAAGTTACTTTTTAGGCATTAGGTAACAAAAAGTGTATGCCATCATGAAAAACACAGCTGTATTTCTTCCATTCTTATTTCTCATGCAGAATGGTTTATACAACAAATAATAAGCTTTTTGTTAACTAACATGACTCATGTCTGGATGATCTTAGCCCTAACCATAATGGCAGAGCTTTTTCTCTGAATCCTCCCCTCATCCTTATATCTTTATTGGACATAAGGAAAAAGTCTCTTAGAGTGAGGGTGGTTAGGTACTGGAACAGGTTGCCTAGACATGTTGTAGAAGCCCCATCCCTGAAGACGCTCAAGGTCAGGCTGGACCAGGCTCTGAGCAACCTGATAGGGCTGTGGATGTCCCTATTCACTGCAGAGAGTTGGACTAGATGACTTGTAAAGGTCCCTTCCAACTCTAAGGAATCTATGGTGATCCTTTCACTCAGAAATCTCTGCAAAGCAGCTGATTCATACTTACATACACAGTAATTCATACTTACATTTTGTTATCAGTAGCCATGCAAGTTCACCTTGTATCTTCTCAATGAGATAAGTGGTGGTATTTTTGTGATCATCACCTCTTGAAGTAGATCTGCCATGATGAATTTCCACCAAAATGGGTGGTATTCATGTAGCCCAACTTTGGGCACATGCTTTACCTGGCTAGGTTGAAGGGTTAGTCTCCATTGGCTTCTTGGAGGTAAGGAACCAAAAATAGTGGTCCAGATATTGCAGAAGCACTTTGACAAGGGACTTGACTTTTATAATTAAATAGTACAGATGTTTGAGGCCATTTCCCCATAAATTAGACAAATCCCTGTAAAGTCAAGGCTGACTATATTTGGTAGCCTGGAATTAATAGTCTGATGTTTCTTTAATATTATTTTCTGAAGACAATTTTTCCATTTGAAAAATACCACAAAGAATTGAGAAGATTTCAACCCACTTTAAGTCTTATCTGATGTCCTTCCACGGGACAACTGTGACATTATCAGAAATGTATAAAAACACCTTGAGAATAAAATCTTTTTCCTGATTGAGTTAAATCTGTACAAAATATTAGAATTTACCTAAGCAAAGTGATTATTTTTTTCCCTTTAAAACATGGAAAACGTCAACATTGCACTGACTGTTTTTCCTTCTATTGTTTAAAATAGTGACTGACCTTTCTTTGGAATGAAAGATCTAAAAATGGCATTCATTGCTAGTGACAGGATGGTGTTTGAGATGCAGGCTCTCACCCAATCAGTTACTCAAATGTAGGAGTAAGCTATTTCTATTGAGCAGTAAGACGGATTAAATACAGAGCGGCATTAAAAAAAGACAGTGAGAGTAATGCACAAGCATCACCATTGCTTCTAGAATGTAATTTTAAGTAAATGACCTTATGTTGCTCACATGCTTGAAAATAAATCTCTGTTCTGCTTGGGTAGTGCTTGTTTTATTTGCAAGCAAATACAAATGAGTTGGATCCTGAATTTTCTTTCTTTTTTTTTTTTTTTAACCATTAAAGATCTTTTCAAGAAGTATAAAAAAAAAGAATAGTAAATAATCTGCCATGAAGAAGTGGTGAGTGCACTGATGCCACCAGGCCAGGAGCAGGCCGTGATGTGGGGATACCAGGATGCCTGAGGCAATCATTAGCCAGGCGGTACTCTTCCTCTTCCCCAGTTTGTCACCACAGAGGCAGACTGAACACCCACCGTGGCCACTGCATTAACCTCTGTTTGCTGTCCTTATTTAGGCAGTGCTTACCACGTCTGTCAGGAAGCCAAAAACTTCATCAAAATTATGATTTGCGCTCCTTATTTCCGCTTTTTTCTTTTTTTGGCAGCAGTTGAAAGACACTCCCTGTTCTGCACACCAACAAACATACTTCTCCCCAGAAAAGCTCATCCAGAAGAGCCTTTCCAGGGCTAAAGTTAAAACAACTATAAGATGACAGTTGACTTAGATAGGATCTGCAGGACATCCTCTGAATATTCTGAGGATGTTCTTCAGAATCTTCATCAATGCTTCTCACTGATGTCCAGAGATGAAACTGGATTTTTTGTGAAAATGCAGTTCTGTGACTATTCACATTTTCTTGCATTTTCGGACTTTACAAAACCTAAACTCCATCTTGTCGTGATTCCCACACGTGAGTGAGTGAGTGAAGATTCAAGCCAAAGGAGACATCAGCCCCTGTAGGATGCAGAAACTGCCATAAACTAGAAGCAAAAAAAAAAAAAACCTTCATTTTTTGTTATCAGGCCATTACTGACTTTGT